GCAGGTGCCTGGGGCGGGCATATTGATTGATGTACGGGGGGGGAGTATGGGGCATGTTCATTATATAGGGGTTGGGCACCTCTGGGATCAGAGGACGACAGCAAAATTCTTTCCTGGAACTGAGGAAAGCTGCAATCGGGAATGACAAACAATGAGCGTGCCGGCACGGCAAAAATAAAGCGTTGTTTTCGTGGCAATTTTCATTTCCTCGTCACGATCCTTCTTTTTCGATCCCCATGAAATGTAGGTGTATATTCCTCGTAAAACTCATTCCCTAAATAGTGGATGAAACGTGTGCCCCCATTACTTCTCCCCCCCCCCGTACAATATCAATATTCAATCACATGTACCGCGGGCCCCTTAGAGTTTAAAACCTATACGGCCTCGCGGCCGACCTTTCCGCACAGCATATTAAAAGTGGCGAAATGGCCGTGCCGCATGAGCAGGCTACACGTTTCACGAAATTCTCCAGTAAGGCGTAGCATCTGTTTTATGCCAGATCAATGTTGCCAATATATAGAGATGCGATTGAGACGAACAATTGATTAAACGTGTTTCATACGCTCTAATTATTTGTTATTCGTGCCGAACATGCGGCAAGTCAGCTTTAGCTTTTACTCACCCGATATTATTTTTCACATCGACATTGGCGCGAGTGAAGTGAATGCCTACCAGATAACATGCATTACGGAATACTATGATAGCTGTTTGTCGAGTGCACGCTCATACCCGTTCGCTGCGTATACTGACATAGTTCAGTCATAACATGTAACTACTAACCATACCCACAAGCACCACCATCATTAGATATATATTGTAATGTTTTAATTGTGTCTTTGTGATTAGCCCTCGGTCATTTACCTGCAAAATAAAAATGCAAATACGCAACTTTTTCAGGGTGGCAGCACGATCGCGGGTATCATGGCGCCGTTCAAATTTCGTAGCGTTGATGTGTAATTAATTATAACAATTAAATTAGGTATCTGGTGACAAATACATGTGGGTATAGACGATTTGATATACAGTATGTACAGTTGTATGCAGTAAAATCCTAGAGTCTACTATCCCTTTAACTTATTGACTCACTCGCCCAGTTTAGCGAGAGGTTTTTATTTTAAATATCTAACACTGATACGTATGTATCCCTCTGATAATTATGTACTGATATCAGGGTCCTGGAATTTGTTGAGTAGGTAGGGCACTCATCTATAGTATAAGAACAGGTGCTCACAAGCACAAATTCCTTCTTGTACACATTGAATTTTTTGCAGTACCTGAAAGATCTTGAGTGTCCAGTGATAGATTCTGATGCAACAACAATCTTAGACTGGTTACTTGGGTTAGCTGTCGGCCTAGAATATGGTGACCATGGTAAGGTTTATTTGCTAACAACACCCACCTATGTAATCAATATAATCTATAATGAAATTACTATTAGAATTTGTCTTTTCTGCTCATATTGTCTCTTTAAAAGAACCTTCCTATTGTTTCTTACATAAATTTTATTGTCAACATAATAATAGTCTGTGACAAATCAATTCTTACATTGATATTCTAGCAATGTAAATATATATCTGGTAGGAAAGATAAATGACCCTAGTTTCCAAGTGCAAAGGTTTATTGTGTGTTATTAGCTGAAAAGTACAAGAGTATAACTGCTGCGAGTTTGGCTGCAAAGAAACTTGACCAACCACAGATGCAATCAGATAATCCACTGGACAAATTAAACTGTGAGTGTCGAATAGTCTAATCTGTAGTACAGACACAGTGACTGTGTGTTCACAGACTATGATTGGCCATTGTACTCATAAATACTTATTTTTACCATGGTAAAATTATAGCGCTTTTACCCAATCAGAGGCCTTGTTACACATAATTTCTACCACAGTAAAATGGATGCATTGGGATTGTCAAAGGTCAACACAGCTGGAAATTAAGGCATGTCATTGGACTTAAGGGAAGTCGCAAATTAGCTTCAACTTTGAAGGCATATCAGAATGTGTTAAGGGGCTAGAGAAAACCCTGACAGAACCAACAAGTGTTAATGACATTGTTATACTGTTAGGATCCAAGGATAGACATATGAGAACATGTCATGTGCATAAGAAACAGACACGAACTCAACTGCCATCGTTTGTTGATTCTTATGAGCACCTGCTCGTGCACACAAACACACAACATATATATATATATATATATATATATATATATATATATATAATATCAAAAGCATATTAAAAAGCCTTCTTAATACGCTCTTGATAATATATTTATATTTATATATATTGCTGCTTTTCAGTTGATGACCCAGACTTCAAGGCAGGTGTTACATCGTTAGCTCAGTTGTTGCAGATTCCTCGACATCCAGACCATCTCGTAACACTCAAGGTAATAACAAGGGTAGAAATTAACTTTTGAACAAGGAGTCCAACGGACTCCCTGCCCTCAAAAAGAGGGAGTCCGCAGCAAAAAGAGGGAGTCCGCAGTCTGAAGTTCAAACTTAAAGATTTGCTGAAAAAATACGGTAATTCCACGAGGCCGTGCTCTGGAACGAACTATAGTTACTATAGCAGAATTTTCAGGGAGTCACACGGACTCCTGCAAATGTCAAATCAGGGAGTCCGACAGTAAATCAGGGAGTATTTGACTCCGGACTCGCGTTAATTTCGCACCCTGTAATAACATAGCAATCCACATAGGAGGTTGTCACACACCAATCCAACATGTCCTTGCAATCTCTAGCTTGACTGCACCACACTCTCTAGTTATTTCTCTGTAAGTTATTCGACCAGTGTTGTGAGTGTTAATATTGCTGCCTCAAAATGCGTCGATAGCTTTGCAGTGTTAACGGCATGTCTTTTATTAGTGTACGTTATGCAATTTCAGGGCTACTCTTTTTTGACACTCGATGTATTTGATGCATATTGCTATCTTATTTAGGCAGTTACGAAGCTAATAAGTGAGAGGTTGTCTCCGGATGCTTTGGAAGCAGCAAAAAGCAACATTCCTAGTGAGGTGAGATGAGTAGTTATGATACAGCCATGTGTCCGTATTGATGCACCTTGTAGTAGAGTACGTGTCGTGTCTTTCCAACAAGTTTCCTTTAGGTGATGCTTCAATCATAGTTTAAGACATTTGGGAGCATCTAATGCTGCACCACAAACACACCAACATACATTTGCTGGTGATTCATATTTTTGAAATTAGCATGACGTGAACAGATAGTTGTGGGAATTTTATATCTTGTGTTATATAGTGTTATTAGTAGCTACACCTGTTTGCACCGTTTTGCTGTCTAGATTTATATACATAAGCTCTCAATTTTATGAAAGAAATTCACATAGCATTTTTTCGTAAATGAGTCTCAACGTGCCCACAATGCGCTTGCATCCTTTCTCGTATCAGCCACACGTTACAATTACTAGTACCCATGTCTAGCACTATGTGATATAGCACATGTTGTGACATATTTACTCTGTTTTTTCAGACTGTTAAACCATTACCTCTGGCGAACTGTGTGCTGGGATTTGAAACTGGAGGTAAGAATTGATATAAGGACTGCTAAAAGGAGTGACTATCTCATATATTTGGCATCACACAGTATGAGGATCGTGGTACATGAAAAATGAAGTGAAGGGAAGTCATTTCAATGTTTAACCCAATATACGTTCTTATTGTTGTTCGACTTCTTACTGTTCTGTTCCTCCCATGGATTAATGGAGCGTGTGTGTAGCCATACCACACATCTACATGCTGGTAGCATAGAAGTAGCTAGAATTCCCCTCTATGGCAAACATACCCCCTCTACATTACACACGTGCAACAAAGGTAAAATCCGAGTCACGGTTACGACGCGCCTTGCTAGACATGCCCGTGCCCATGCGCAATGTAGATGGGGGGGGGCGCGTTTGCAATAGGACGTGTGTTTAACACGCTACAGCGCCACTTTGCTGCATGTCGTTGCAGACTACGTGATGAGCGAGGCTGCAAAGATCCTGCGTCTGCTGCACATCCGGGAGCTGCGCGAGCTGCAGACGCGCATCAACGAGGCGATCGTCGCCGCCCAGGCCATCACGGCCAACCCGAGGACAGACGAGCGGCTCGGCAAGGTCGGCCGGTGATCGAGCGGCTCGGCAAGGTCGGCCGGTGATCGAGCGGCTCGGCAAGGTCGGCCGGTGATCGAGCGGCAAGGGCGACTTTTGCTTTTGGGGTCGCCCCCGATATCATGTTTTCGGGGGCTCTTTTTGGCATTTCGGGGGCGAAATCGCCCGCCGCCCCCGTGTATTTTTTCCCCTGGTTGGGCACCTCTGGGATCAGAGGACGACAGCAAAATTCTTTCCTGGAACTGAGGAAAAAGCTGCAATCGGGAATGACAAACAATGAGCGTGCCGGCACGCAAAAATAAACGTTGTGTGAATTTCATTACGATTTTCCATGTATATATTGTAATATCCAGGGCTTGAAACTAATGCTCGCCCGCTCGCCCGAGGCTAGTAGAAATCAGTAAGGGCTAGCAGAATGTCTGGGCTGACCAGCCCTGTTGGCGAGTGGGAATGCCTACCAGATAACATATTACTAATACTAGTACTTTTTCAGCAACTACTAACCCAACCGAACTAGTAATAAGTAGTATAAAACTTGCGTGTGCAAACATAATAAAATTGCAAAACCTAAACATAACAGTCACGATGCTGAACGCAGCCATATTGGATACTGTAGACTTTACGGATTAAACCACATTAATTCCCTCACAGTGTATGTACCCAATACGTTTCTGTTCTACTTTCTGTTTATGTTCGTGGAATGGTTAGTTTACGGTTCAGCTGATCTCAGGGTTAAACACTACAATCCCTTCCCTTTTCAAACGAAAAGATGATTTCAATTTGATGGTTGCTAAATAAGCAAATTAGAAACTCAAATTTACTTATACTCAGTTGGAATCACCCTGGCTAATATACAATCCAGTCTCTGTGTCTATTATTGACGTGGAATAGTAGTCATGGTTTTGTCAGGTACTATTATGAAAATAACCCGCATATATACCTTTAAACCTACATTCCTGTAACTGGTATTCTAAGCTTTTTATAATACGAAGTTCATTCTAACACTAGCATAACACGCTTGCTTCTATGTGGCTTATATTCAGTCAACTAATATAATTGCAATACAACTCTACAAATCTTAAACTATCGCAAACAGATAACTCAACTTATAACTCTATACTGTACTTGTACTAACTACTAACAACCTCTGTACTTGTAGTAGAGATAGTCACAAACGGTTCAACTTAAACATGAACTTTCACATTTCAGTAAACTGACTAACAGTTCTAATCGTTAATTACTATAAGGAATATAATTATTCTGCTCTTATAACATAGTACTGATGTGTATACTGAATCTATACTGAATCTAGATTTTCACAAAGTCAATGAATTTCGCAGAACGCATCTCAGAGCGTCTAAAATCAAAACCCAGACCCCCCCCCCAAAAAAATGGCAAAACTGTGCTCACCACGTAGCTTCAGCGCCGCACTTCAGAAAACTAAGGGCTGCTAGCTATTTTTAAGGGCTAGTAGATTTTACAGGTCACTAACCCTGCTGGCTAGTGAACATTTTAGGTTAGTTTCAAGCCCTGATATCGATATAATATATAGATCTATCTATATATATATATATATATATTTGTTTATCTATTTATATAATATCAATATAGATCTTTATATTACACACTTCTGGTAATATGATATGCACTGACCCAAAAGCTTATAGATTGCAAGTAAATTTTGGACAGATCTGAAAATAATTAAGCGTCGAGGCCTGTGTTAGCTATTCAGTTGGCAGATAGATTAACTTATTAACCACATTACTTTGCCTTAGAATTGTACTTGCACAATACAGTGACAGAGACTAAGCAGTTCAACCCTCAGCAATTTGAAGTTTTTGTTTCTCTTTTTTTAAGTAAGTATTTTAGTCTTTGGTATCCCCAAAGATTAAAATACTCAACTCAAAAGTGATATTTTTGTGATGAAGATTGTTTAATAATGCTGCCTCAGAGTGCATGAAATTGCATCTAAGAGGTGTAATTTTCCAGAAAAATTCTGAGGGAGGGCCCCTGGACCACCCCTAAAGCAGCCTGAGAATAAAAGTAAATTGAATCGCGTAGAATCGCATGATTGTCCGTCCGTCCGTCCGTCCGTCAACAGTTGGGCACAAATCTTAACCGCTCGACGTACGGTCTTGATATTTGGGACGTCGGGGGGGGGATCGCGAAAAGGACTGGGGATGTCGAATTTGGGGGTCAAAGGCCAAAGTGTGTCAATGGAGGGGGAATATTTCCCCCTAAACTTAAGGTATAGGAGAAAATACGGAATTGCGGCACAAATCTCAACGGCTTGACCTACGCTCTTAATATTCGATGTATAGTG